TATTGAATACACCAATAATATCATGAAAGTGTTATATGAATGAATGCTCACCACAAGTGGTTTTATTGTGGACCATTCCCGAAGAATTGCCAAATCAACGTGAGATGTTTTCGGTCAACTGGTTGTTTGCGAGGTCCATTATTTGATGTTTGGACATCTGACAGAAAGAGGATCGAATGTCTCCGTATAATTTGTTGTACCTTAGCCTAAGAATTGCCAGATTAAGCAGATTGTTTCCAATCCATTCCGGAACTTTCTCTGCTAACTTGTTGTCTCCAATATCCAAACCCATTAACTGGGTGCAATTCTCCAAATTTTGGGGGTGTTGCCTTATAAAACTGTTATTACTCAGTTGCAACCATCCCAACGAGTAAGCTCCACCAATGGAGCTTGGAATGGGGCCCGAAAGCTTATTAGATGATAATATTGCAACCTTTATGTAAGATAAGTTAGCCCAACATTGTGGAAGGTGACCTGACAAAAGATTCTTGGAGAGACGCAAATAAACAAATCTCTCATTTGGCATAAGGAATCGGGTATCGAACTTGTTATCGCGTTGTTTGATAGGTCTAAAACTTGGATTCTGAAAGGAAGATTTGGAATAGATCCATCAATATGGTTGTTGGATAGGTCTAACTCAGTCAGATTTGTTATGGAATGGAGCCATCTCGGCAGCATGCCTCAAATGCTACAATTAGATAGATGCAAATAGTGTAGTGATTTTTATATTTGAAGTCACTATGGAAATTGGCCTCCGATATGAATGGATGATGACATATAAAGGGATTTTAGTTGAAAAGGAGGGTTCTAATCATACAAATAAGAAAAACATACAAAATGTATGTAAACTTACAACTATTACCAACATTAACTATGTGAATTAAAATGAGAAATAAATGAGTTATATTTTAAACAATTATTCAGTTATTGCATGAAAGAAACACCTTAATTATTGTAACATATAACATATATTTTCAACGAATACGAAAATGAGGTAATTACATAATATTTTATGAAACAATGAAAAAATCATAAACTTTTTAATCTTCTAACCAGTACAAAAGTACATTTTTTTCAAATATATTATTATTATAAATAAATAAAGAAGTAATATTAAATAGTATTTATCTTACTTGATTATATTAGTTGTAGTCTAATAAATAAGATATTTGATTGCAACTTCATTATATAAAGTATGTACAAAAAAAACAAAAAAAAAAAATGACGCAATTCATATAAATGTGATCTAGTTCATTTAATAAATAAATATTATTTGTAAATAGAATAAGAAACAAATACACGATAGTAATTCAATAGGAAAAATAAAAGTACTTATTTTCTTAGAGAAATATGAATACTACTATCTAGAAACAAATGTCGTTTAAAATTACTACTTTCTTTTTTGCTAACGTCTAAATATATGAACTCCGTAAGAAATTAGGTCTCATAAATATGATCCTACATTATCAAGAATTTTAAATAATTAAAAAAATAAAAACTTTGTAATACATAACGTAAATGTTAATAATAACTGCGTAATAATATAGTTCACAGAGCGACTAAGAGTATCATAATATAATAGAATTTTAATTCTTATCTTACATATATTTTAATTAATGATGTCTTTCTTAATATTGTCTCATTGTTTTGCTTTGTTTTGTTGTTTTGCTATTTTTTTTTTCCAAGAAAGGATCTTTATCTTGAATTTACGAAGCATTATGTATGATGCAAAAAAAATTGGACAATAAAAATATTAAAGATGTTATTAGATACATAAGTACTGTAATGAAAGATATTATGATAAACAACACTAAAATTATTGCAACAACCAAGATGGTCAATGATTTGCAAACAATAGGTCATATAGTTCGTTTGCCTTCCAAATAAATAACATTAAAAAAAATCATTCAGGGCATGATAATTTTTTTTTTCAGACAAGTCGGTGATTGAATACCTTTTAAGATCATACAATAATGAAGTTTGATTATATGTTTGGCCAGTATATTTATAAGTTAGTGAATAATGCAGACGTTTTGTCAAATGAATTAAGAAAAAATTTGCAACACTATTGATGTACTGGACTACAACTAGTATTAATGTTTCTTATGAAAATGTCAAAACCAAAATGAAAAAATCACTCTTTAATCATCTATTATAATTAAATAAAATAATTAATACATCTATAATATTCATTAGGTCCTTATTTAGTTGTTTTGTATTTTTTCCATTAGAGACTATATTTTTGTTGTAGTTGTAATATGATATTTCATTCTTTTTATATTAGGACATCATTATGTTATTTTGAAAAAAAATATTAGAAGCTCATTTATTCTATATTTTACTTCATTCCTGCAATGATATGTTTAATTAAATAATCAATTAATTTTACTGAATTCAATCGTCAAAAAAATTTATCACCACGTGCGATGCACGTGCACTTTACTAGTGACTTTAAAATGTTACTCTGATTAAAAAATTATGTTTCAACTTTGAAAACATTTTGTTATGTATTATTATGCAAAGCACAATTTTCTATTAAATAAAAATAGTGATGAAAAAAAATGAATAAATTATAAAAATATATAAATGCATAATTTAAAAGCTAAAGAACTATATATATTATGCATGACATGCCTCACACGTACACTTTACAAGTTATACAAAAATGAACTTAAAAAAAAACCACATCAAACTTATAACCCTTAAAACAATACATATAACACCAACATCAAACACACCACAAAGATCACATCAAACACAAGGATACAACTTAAAGGACAATTCAATATGATACAAAGTTGACAAGTCCCCTTGTAAACTCAAGCTATAGCAGTCTAACTCCAACCCATCATTTTTTTCAATAGAGCATCCATCCACCCGAACAGTGTCTGCGGCCAACTCTTTTTGAAGATCAAAACTCCAAAGTAAACCCATAATCCAGTGGCTTCCAGTGGCAAAACCACCAACTACAAATTCATAGAGGTATAACTTATCGGCTGCATTTCCATCATCACCATGCTCCCCACTATTTTTACCTTTTGTCGATGTTCTATTAACTTCGCATTGTTGGGCCAATGGTGCCCCACATAGTCCAGGGTTTCCCTCATAATCCAAACTTCCGTTGAGTGTTTGAAGTTGAGGCCCCATCGGGATACGCCCAGACAAATTATTGTTGGACAAGTTCAAATGACTCAGAAAGGTCAACTTCGATAAGATCTCTGGAATTGTTCCAAACAAATAGTTGTTGGAAAGATCAAGTGATTCGTGAGACCATATCTCCAATCTTCAATGGGATTTGTCCTCTTAGATGATTATGAGACAAATTGAGACCGATCAAGTCAGTGAGGTTTGTCAGCTCCAAAGGGATTTCTCCAACTAGTTGATTACTTGAAAGATCAAAATTGACCAAGAATCGTGTATTTTCGCTATACTCCAGCACCACTCCCTTCAAGACTTCACTTAATGCATTGAGCCCATAGTTTTCAATTGTTACATGACAGACATTTTTTGTATATATATTTTCCTTTGTGCAAACAATGTCTATACTAGTGTTTACATAACAATTCTTGTAATAAAAATTGCTACAAAAAAATTGGATCATTGCTCGATCACTGCTAAATTTACTATTTATCACTGTCACGATCAAGTCACATTTAGCTTCCTTTTATTGAAAAAAATAAATCTTTTTTTTTTTGGCTTATACTTGAAGAAAATACCTCACCCCACAAGACTAACTTTTTTTTTTTAAAAAAAAAAAAGTTGATTTAGTGATCAAAATGAACAATTTAAAAAAATTCATTTCCTCCAACTAACTCTTAGATCATCAGTAACGAACTAAGAAATGTTGAATACACGAATAATATCATGAAAGTGTTATATGAATGAATACTCACCGCGAGTGGTTTTATTGTGGACCATTCCCGAAAAATTGCCAAAGCAACGTGAGATGTTTCCGGTCAGCTGGTTGTTTGCAAGGTCCATTATTTGAAGTTTGGACATCTGACAGAAAGAGGATGGAATGTCTCCGTAGAATTTGTTGTTCCTTAGCCTAAGAATTGCCAGATTAAGCAGATTGTTTCCAATCCATTCTGTAACTTTCCCTGATAACTTGTTGTCTCCAATATCCAAACCCATTAACTGGGTGCAATTTTTCAAATTTGGAGGGAGTTTCCTTATAAAACTGTTGTTACTCAGTTGCAACCATCCCAACGAGTAAGCTCCACTAATGGAGTTTGGCATGGGACCAGAAAGCTTATTAGATGACAATGTTGCAACCCTTAAGTAAGATAAGTTAGCCCAACATTGTGGAAGGTGACCTGACAATAGATTCTTGGAGAGACGCCGATAAAACAAATCTCTCAGTTGGCATAAGGAAGGGGATATCGAACCAGTTATCACGTTATTTCATAGATCTCAAACTTGGATTCTGAAAGGAAGATTTGAAATAGATCCATCAATATGGTTGTTGGATATGTCTAAATCAGTCATATTTTTTATGGAATGGAGCCATTTCGACAGCATGCCTCTAATGCTACAATTAGATAGATACAAATAGTGTAGTGATTTTTGTGTTTAAAGCCACTGTGGAAATTGGCCTCCGATATCAGTGGATGACATATAAAGGGATTTTAGTTGAAAATGAGGGGTCCAATCATCTCCCACTTTGAATGTTAACATGTTAGACCCAGTCCTAAATCCTTTAAGTTTGAATAGCTTCTCAAAGTGGGCCTCTATGAGCGTACCTTCAAAGGTATTACCATATATGTCAATCCACTCCAAATCGGAAAGTTGCCCCACAATAGTTGGAATTGGACCAGACAACTTGTTACTAGACAAATCTAACCATTTTAACTGCTTCAGTTTGCCAAGTTCTTCAAGCAACTGCCCGTAAAAATTATTACTCCACAACTCTAGGTTCTCCATGTTGTGGCTCCAGCATCTTGATAAATTTATTGGGAATGGACCAGTCAACTTGTTATCAGACAAATCTAACTCCTTTAGCTGCTTCAGTTCACCAAGTTGTTTAGGAAACTGCCCGTGAAAATCATTACTCCACAACTCCAAATTCTCCAAGTTGTGGCTCCAGCATCTCGATAAATTTTTAATTAATAATACCGAGATATCTTCATGAAAATGATTATTCCCTAGGTTCAATGATTTCAAGTGGCATTTATCCCACAGCAGATCAGAGATCCAATCTGTGTTGTAATTAAGTGAGTTACCTTCAAGGTTGAGATATTGAAGATTTCTCGACAGAAGAAAATGAGGGTCCAATGAGGTGTATTGGTTGGAAAAAAGATCAAGAAAATGCAATGAAGTCATGTTATAGAGAAAGCATGGAATGCCTCCTTTAAAGAGATTGTTACTCAAATCTTGGTGTTGTATATTAGTAGATAGCATGGACTTTAAGCAACTAGTACGAGGTAGGTATGTGTTATCAAGCCCACTATGTGACAAGCTTAATATTTCTAAAGAATGAAATGTACTGAGTACCGTCGCAAGGTGATCATTTGTGGTGCTAAGGTTGACATGACACATATCAAGGGACTCCAGCAATGAAAGATTAGCAGCCCATATGAAATTGTCGACTCTTAGAGAAGATAACAGTCCACCAAGATTAAGTGAACACAAGGTTGAGAGGTTGCCGAGCTGGTGAGGGATAACACATCCAAAGCCTGCATTTGAGAGATTGAGATATTGCAGTTTGTTTAATGATCCTAGGAATGATGGAATCGAGCTGTCCTTGAAATTATTCCCACTCAAGTCAATGTACTTGAAATGCTTCATTTCAAGCAAGGAAGAATCAAGTGTTTCACTTTGTAACATGCTATCAGAGCTCGGGTCCCCATAATTATCTAGAACTCGATTTCTGAGATCAAGCCCGATAACATGCCCAGTCGCTTTATCACACTTTACGTCTTGCCAGTTACAACATTTGTATCGGGTGTTATTCCACGAAGAAAGCCCGTTAGACCCATCCAACAGGCTTGCTTTCAACCTCAGGAAATGCAATCATTAAAAGTAAAATTATTATTTGATGACAGACACAATATGGCTGGCTCAAACATTATTAAGAAGAAGAAGATGACGGGGAGGAGCATTGAAGAGAACAACATTTTCTCCATTTTATAGACACACATATATATTGATTGGATATAGGCTTGAGAATAAGTATAGGAAAGTTCGCTAGATGTTGGTAGTAGTATATTTTATCATAAGGCTCTATTATATAGCCATTTATGATGATTTCGCATATATGGTTAGTTGTCATGAATGATAGTGAAATCCGATTACCAAAAAGTACTTGCACTTGCATTGACTTGACTCCAAGTAAACCTTTCTTTTCTTTTTTTTTTTTGGTTGTGTTCCTCTTGTAATGTTGAATAAGTACTTTAGTCTAAATAAGATTTACTTTAGTGTAACTTTAATTATATGTTTTTAGTCAGAAATTATTTACTAAACTTATGATTAACAGGTGTATTTATATTTTTGACACCCATTACCCATTGTTACAGAAACTAAGGAACGAGTTTTTGGTTCACTCATTTCAACATCTATGAAAGAGTTTGTTAATTAGTGATACTCATAGTCTTGACCAAAATTTAAATGTTAAATTTCCCATGAAGGAGATGTGATCGTGAAATACTTGAATGCGTGTTTAGTCATTTGTAGAATAATTGTGGAATTATTAGCCAATGTACGCTCGATCGGGTTGACTTGACTTAGAGTAAACTACACAAACTATTATAATTGATCATCCATGAAAGTGTTCATAGTGAGTAAGAGGTGATTGGATATGAATTCAACTAGTAAAAAAACTAGTTTATTTTTAACTATAGTTAAGTTTGAAGAAAAGTAGTATGATTAGTTGTTAGTTGATATATTAAAATAATATTTAAATTAAAATAATTAAAGTTGATTTGATGTAAAAGTAGGAGAAAATGATTGAAAATGATGATTAGTTAAAATTATGTGGGTGGATGAATAGTGAATTAAAGTTGATGTGATGTATAAACTATCTAAATTAAAAAATTTAAGTAGTTGAGTAACTTATTAAAAATAAATAAATATTGACCGATAAGTTATGAATAATTATTTATTTGATTATTAATTTTAAATATTTTTTTAATATATTATATACCAAATTTAAATCATGAAATTAATAATGGTAATAGGTGCAAATTTTGTCAATATACTAAATTTATGCAACTAATAAATATTTAAAAAAAAAACTTACTACTAAAGGTATAATTGAATTTTTTGCAAAATTTCAATTAATATTTTAGAAAAATACAAACCTTTTTGTATATATATATATATATAATGATTGTAATAATATTATGGGTTAACTATTTGCTTAATTAAGAGCCACGATTTGAATAGTTAAGAATTCATAAAAAATAGTTTTTTATGTGCTTATTAATTAGTTCTTTAATTATTCAGCCGCAACTACCATAGTTGATTTTTAAAAGACACCATAAATTGTGTGCTTGGAGTAGTGAAGGGATCTAAAAAATGAATATGTTATATGTTTTTTTTTTTAAATGCGAAAAAAGTTATCAAGATTAGTAACTTTTAAAAATTTAGGCGGGATTTTAGTTTTTTTTTTTCAGGTAAATACAAACCTTATTTAAAGTAAATCAATTATTTATGTAGCCTTGCATTTAATTTTTAAACATAAACAAATGAAATCAATTTACTGTTTTGGTGATATTATATAATCACAATCTAATCATCAAACATAAGTTAATGAATTTTAATTTCAATAGCAATTAACTGGAATAATATTATGGGTTAACTATTTGTTTAATTCAGAGCACAATTTGAGTAGTTAAGGGATCTTAAAAAATAATTTTTGATGTGCTTATTAGTTCTTCAATTATTCAACCGCAATTACCATAACTGATTTTTAAAAGATAACATAAATTTTACTATTTGAGTACTTAAGGGATCTAAAAACTGAATTTTTTATGCGTTTATTATTTCCTTAATTATTCAGCCACAATTACCATAATTGAAATTTACCATAATTAAATTTTAAAGTATGTTGAAATTCGAATTTAACAATGCAAAGGCAGGGTTTTTCAAAAGAAAAAAAACACTGCCTTTTCAAATGAAAAAAAAAAAGTAAACAAAATTATCAAGATTATTAACTTTTAAATTTTGTAGGCAAGATTTTCATTGTTTTTCAGGTAAATACAAACTTTTTAATATATTAATACACATTATTTTTTTTGGCCGAAACGATAGAGGAACTATAATAAACCAGGCGCACAAAGTGCGAATAAGATTACAAAGCTCCCAACAGGAGAAAGAAAAACAACCTAAAACTGAAAACTGGGAGGACAGGTCAGTCGACCGCCTAGAATCCCGACTCTAGCAACGCTAGAAACCAAAAACTGGACTCACAAGACAACTACTACAACAAAACACAAACAAAAACAACAAAGCTCCCCACAGGAGAATCGGGACGGGAGCTGCTCCCCACAGGAGAATCAAGGTTGCTCCCGCTCATATTAATACATATTATAAATATTTTAAAAATATTTGTTTTTTCAAAATTTATAACAATAAATACTATAAATGTTTTAAAATGAATTTTTTATTTTAAAATTGGGATAGGAGTTATATTTTTTTCAAGTGAATCAATCCCAAATCTTACAATTTGAGTAAATATATCATACTCTTTTGTCTTGATAACATTTTCTTCCATTTTGAGTAAGGAAAATTTTTTTCATTCTTAAACAATCGAACCAAAAAAAAAAAAACTACAGTTCATACTTTAGTTTTAATTGCATGAAACAAAGCAACAGATTCTTTGAACAATCAACATATACCCAAATCAGTTCAACACACAATCAATTTTGATGTAATTGTAAGACCATAATCCCATTAGCAATCCAAGCCTATCAGAAAATAGCCTGTAAAACCCGCTGCCTAAATTGTTTTGGAAGCAACCCTTGTTTAGGACCACCTGTCGCATCGTCGAAACCCCCTGGCCGCCGGCCATGACTCGATCCCAAGCACACTGCCGCTCATAGAGCCACAGCCAGCCGTAGAACCCCGACGCCATTCACCAAAGCACCACCTTCGATAGCAGCACCCCGACTGTCCGCCGCCAAAGCCCGACGATCCCCGTTAGCCACTCATGCCTCGAGTCAACTCGTCAGCACACCACGCACAACCCGAGCCTAGCGGCTGCCACACGTCACCAACCTGCCAAGCCGCCATCAAGTTTCGCTCGCCTCCAAGGTTTCCGAGCCGCAGCCGCAGCCGCAGCTTCAGCCGTCCGTTTAAAACCCACAGTTCATACCCTTCTCTACAGAATCCCTTTCCAAACGCTTAAGATGGGTGATAATATTTCCGCTGACACCAAGCTACCGATTCTCGGCAAACGGAACATTCTTTGTCGCAATATATTAGATATTGTATACCAAATATGTTATAAATTGCTAATATATTATATACTAAATTTAAGTCATGCATATTAGGTAATAGCATAATATCTAACCAAAATGATTGTGTATATTAATTACATTGATTTTTTTAATTTGAATTTAATAAAATTGACCGCCATTTTTCAAAAAATATATAAAAAGTTACTAATATAGGTAAAAATGAATTATTTGGGCGGGAATTCAGCTACTATTCAGGTAAATGTCAAACCTTTTTATATTTATATAGATTATTATATTAATAGATATGTAGATATTTCAATTTCAAATATCCCTTAATTCGAAAACTCTATTTCAATATAGTATTAAAAAAAAAAAACTTCTCCTTAGTAATTAATATTAATATACCTTTATCTATCCTCGTATTATGTGGATTATTCAATAAAACAATGACGTGACCAGATTTCTTAATATATAAAATAAAAAACTCAATTCATTAATTTCTTTTTAAAAAATGACGTGACTAGATTTCTTAATATATAAATAAAAAATAAAAAAACCCATTAATTCACACATATCATTAACTTTACAATAATATAATAAATTTTATAAATAATGTTTGATCAAGTGTGGATATGGTCAAGAGGAGATTTTGTTTTAAGAAAAATATATATCGATCAATTTCCTTAAATAATATCAACTCACTTAAAACATATATATCATACAATGATCAAGTGTGGATATGGTCATTAAACAATACTTTTAGTAATATCCTGTTGAGCCCCCAAAGGAACAACCAAAACTAAGTGGCGAAAATAAATTTTAATCAAACATTTTTTGCAAGGATTATTTTAGATGTAGTGTAGTTGTAGGAAATTAAGAAAAAAAAAAACTACTATAAATTTTGGTTGTAAGAAATCAATTAAAGAATATCTCAAAGTTATTTATGTCAATACATCAGTTAAACAATATCTCAAAGTTATTAATGTGAACAAAAAATCTGGACAATATGAATAATATTTCCTAAAGCATATGCAGATTTTCCAAAAATTAAAAATATCTGGTTTTATTACTTATTTAAATAAAATCATATCTCAAAATAGTAAAAATGATTTTTTTGGCGGGAAACAGTTGCTATTTTAAAAATAATCGAATATTTTTATATAGATATAGATATAGATATAATGTGAGTTTGTTGAAATAATTGTGGAATTATCAACCAAACAACACTCGGGATTGTAAATTAAATTTTGTAGTCGTCATGGCGTGCAACATGCTTCAGAAGTGTTGCATATGATATAAATTATATAATATAAATACTAGCACAACCGGCCCATATTTCTTTTAATACGTTTGTTACAAACCTAAAAAAATAAAAATAAAAATAAAAAGTGTAATGATCTATACATTCACCACCTTTCTTTCACTGCATGTCTCAACATCTAGGTAATTACCAAACACATTATCTTTCTGAAAATGAGGGAAACAAAACAACAAAAGATATTTGCTTCAATCTGAAAATGAAAAATAGACGCTTACCAGACGGATGTAGTTTCGTACCTCAACTTTCTACATTGGATAAAAAATTTACACGAAGGCATTCCCATCAAAGAAAGAACCAAT